TGCAGTAGTTATGCTGTATATATGCTTATAACGAACTACGGTTATAACGAACTAAAATTAGAAGTCCCTTTGAGTTCGTTATAACCGTAGTTGACTGTAGAAGGTTTTGGAAATGGCATTGAATAAAAATAATCGTAAGTTAATTTCATGGAGTAACACATAGGCAGCAACAAAATGAAATAATAAAGTCTTTGCATGAGACTGTATCGCCATTTACGTCATGTTGATATGGCCTCGGGTTTCAGCCACATGTGTTTGGCTAAAATTGTTGGTCGGAAATAGTAGACGGTTGGAACAATAGAGTTACGTTAATAGAATTATTAATGTCGGTATATATAGTGGATAAGCAGAGGTCTTTCAATTCCATGTGTAATATACTACAGTATATCGTTTGAATTAATGTAAATGTTACCTTGTAAAAAGGTGTTGACATGTTATATACGTATTTAAATTTATCTTCACATGCAGCGCTTTATGTGTAAATATTCATATATTTTGTTGTTGAAATGTTGTTTAGCACTTGTAGAAGAAACAAATTATCCAGACAACATAATTAAGTATTAAGAAACATGAAACACACTTATGGTGTTCAATCCTTAATCAGTAGGTTTGATGACGTAACATCCATTGGTTTATATTGCACTGCGCCTCTAATCTGTTTAATCTTACCCAACTGCAGTAAGACATCTAAATTAATAACTCAATCGTTGATTAAAAAAATACCCCTAAGAAGGGAAACGCCAAATGAGAACCAATGATTGCTTTATATCAGACGCCATCGTCCGTCCGAACACACACATTATGGGCAGGGACAGAGGGTTTATACCACTAATTATAACTTAAATGACCTGTGAAGATCCGGGGTAGAATAGGTCTTCAGGAACCTATGCTTGCCGTAAAAGGCGACTTTGGTTGTCGTAAAAGGCGACAAACGGGATCGGGTGGTTACGCAGAGACTATAGCTATTAGCGGGTTCTGTTTGTGACTAATACAACAGGTTGAGCATGCTTTTGTAGAGACCGTATTGAAAACATATCAGAAAACATATTACAGTATTTTTGGTAAACGTCAACATGCATTCATGCATTGTAATAAATATTGCGAACAATGGAACCAGTGAATTAAGTAAACCTGACAACTGGATATTTGGACCTAGAATGAACTTGGTAGACCTAGGAATATAAATAAAATATGTAAATTATACAGCTCATCTTTGGACATAAAACAATAAAAATTCGTTAATGTGAAACATTGTGTTCTGATAGCACAGTTTGTTTGGGGAAATAAATGTAGAGAATTTTAATGTTGTTTACATTATTTTGAACAAGGAATTCACATTTTGTGCTCTTGAATTTCATTCTCATCTCCCTGGGGTAAAAGCATGCTGTCTATGAGGTGCTAGAAGGTTCTCACTCTCTTTATCATCTAGTGCTACCGGACACCAATTTACTGCCCGGTGAACAGAGGCTTCTCCAAAGGAAGTGACTTGCTTTAAAGAGACACGCCGAGTTGCATTTGCTTCAGCGTGGGACAGGACCGAAGCCCTGAGAGTCTAGCTTATTTTTAGTTCATGTGGGTAAATCAGTGAAAAGGAATTGTCTATTTGGTGGTTATTGAACGATATAACTTATTGACCAAATAATTAAATTACCTTGTTTCTGCTAATCCGAGCAGACATTCAGATTCATATGCATTCCGAGAAACAGATCAGCGAACAGGAGAGCAGAGTTGGTGTCCATGGGTTTGTCTACTTCTTACCTAAATGTCTAACCCCCAGATTTGACAGGATGTTATCAAGGAGGAGGTCCAGCATTTCCGAAATGTTTTCTCAGTAAACTTCAGATGACACTTGCTTCTGAAGACAGATATGTAATTGTGTCTGTGGTCACCCCGTTTTGCAACAAAGCTCCATGTTTCAAGGAATGGAGTTTTTCCTTAAATTTGTCCAAAGGGATGGTGGTGTTCAAAGTTGAAAAAAACAAATGTTTTGAGAGAATTGAACCTGGTTCTTTTCTAAGATTGTAGAAAGTCAAGCACGTCCTTTTTGAGAATCCAAATGGTATTAATTCCACTTGTCTCAAAAACCCAACTTTGGTTATATTAAGAATTATGGCTAATCGTTGACACGGATGTGGTGGTACATTTGCTGGACCCAGCAATGTATCTCTCTTTGTACGGGTGTTTATGGAGCTTTGTAATCTAGTACACACGAGGAATGGATATGTCTTCAGGTTTTAGAGTCAGACCGAACGTTGATGGTACTGATGCATGGTTTGGGCACATTTCTTACTCAGTTTACATACTGGGCTTATATATGGCATTATTTGATATGTCAGTTATACCATGTTCTTTGATCAAACAATGTAGTGGTGCTTACATATAATGGTTATGATACCTTTTCAGTGGAACAACAACACACTTTTCATGTAGGGCAGCCAGGCTTTAGGTGACAGCTGGCTGGGACAGAATGAGTTTGACCCAATCTGAAAGTGTGTGAGTGAGTACGGTTTTACGCCGCTTTTAGCAATATTCCAGAATCAGACATCAGAATTGAGTTTTACCCTTTGCACTTATGCGGGTAATCAAACTCTGGCCTTGGCCAACACCCCCCCCCCCCCCCCCCCCCCCCTTAAACAGATGTTTCCCAAAGTCGAAAAAGAAGGTCATTTATGAACACGTGCATGCAGGTCACACGATTACGCACAGAATATTAATTAGCGGGTTCTGTTTGTGACTAATACAACAGGTTGAGCATGCTTTTGTAGAGACCGTATTGAAAACATATCAGAAAACATATTACAGTATTTTTGGTAAACGTCAACATGCATTCATGCATTGTAATAAATATTGCGAACAATGGAACTAGTGAATTAATTAAACCTGGCAATTTGATATTAGGGCCTAGAATAAACTTTTTGACTGAGGAATATAAATAATATATGTAAATTATACAGCTCATCTGTATATATATAATGATGATTATTTATAAACGCCAGCTGTTGGACAAACGAATGTTCTTATAAAAAAATGTTAAATTAATTACAAATATCATCCATGCCTCCGAAAGGATCGGTTTTGTGTGACAATATTAACGACAGAAACATGAGTTGATTTGTCGAAGACAAACCATGCGAATAGTTAATTAACGAACATTCGCATTTGAATTTATGGCAGTTTCACTGTAGACGTTCTTCTGTGAGAGTGAAGTATTTGTCTTCACAGGCCAACTGATTAAGAATCATGAAGTTTGACGAACTCCTGGGGGAAATCGGGGAATTTGGCCCCTTCCAAAAGCGGATATACTTCATGGTGTGCTTTACTGCCATAGTGGGAGCTTACCAGGCAATGTCACCTGTCTTTCTCTTGGAGATAACTAATTACAGGTCAGTTACAGCATATAAACAACCGCTGGACAAATGAAAGCATTCATTTGACATTGGATTCCACCAAATCACAAAAACGTTACATGGTTGAAACCAGTCGCAAAAACGCCATCGAATAACATTTCTTGTTATCCCCCGGCATATACTGCGGGGGGATATAGCGATCAGCCAGTCTGTCTGTCCGTCCGTCCGTCTGTCTGTCCGTACTCATTTCCTTTTCCGGGGCAGAACTCGAAAACCATTCAGTGTATTTGATCGAAACTTGGCACATCTATCAGTCACATACTGAACTGGTGCCTTTTGCTATTTAGGAATTTTATAAATTTTATGTTTTTTACGTTTCCATGTCAACAAGTTGGACTTAGGTTCTTATGAGGGCGGTGTTCATTTCCGGAGCGTAACTCAAAAACTGTTAAATACTTTCTTACAAAACTTTCCATGTCTACCAGGCACATACTGAACTGGTGCCTTTAGCTATTTAGGAATTTTATAACTTTATATTTTTTACGTTTCCAAGGCCACAAGTTGGACTACACAGGACCGGTCTTGTGTGACAATATTTGCGACAGTAACATGAGTTGATTTGTCGAAGACAAACCATGCGAACAGTTAATTAACGAACATTCGCATTTAAATTTATGGCAGTTTCACTGTAGACGTTCTTTTGTGAGAGTGAAGAAGCATCGTCCGATTTATTGTTAAATATGTGGTCTTCACAAGCCAACTGATAAAGAATCATGAAATTTGACGAACTCCTGGGGGAAATCGGGGAATTTGGTCCCTTCCAAAAGCGGATATACTTCATGGTGTGCTTTACTGCCATAGTGGGAAGTTACCGGGCAATGTCACCTGTCTTTCTCTTGGAGATAACTAATTACAGGTCAGTTACAGCATATAAACAACCGCTGGACAAATGAAAGCATTCATTTGACATTGGATTCCACCAAATCACAAAAACGTTACATGGTTGAAACCAGTCGCAAAAACGCCATCGAATAACATTTCTTGTTATCCCCCGGCATATACTGCGGGGGGATATAGCGATCAGCCAGTCTGTCTGTCCGTCCGTCCGTCTGTCTGTCCGTACTCATTTCCTTTTCCGGGGCAGAACTCGAAAACCATTCAGTGTATTTGATCGAAACTTGGCACATCTATCAGTCACATACTGAACTGGTGCCTTTTGCTATTTAGGAATTTTATAAATTTTATGTTTTTTACGTTTCCATGTCAACAAGTTGGACTTAGGTTCTTATGAGGGCGGTGTTCATTTCCGGAGCGTAACTCAAAAACTGTTAAATACTTTCTTACAAAACTTTCCATGTCTACCAGGCACATACTGAACTGGTGCCTTTAGCTATTTAGGAATTTTATAACTTTATATTTTTTACGTTTCCAAGGCCACAAGTTGGACTACACAGGACCGGTCTTGTGTGACAATATTTGCGACAGTAACATGAGTTGATTTGTCGAAGACAAACCATGCGAACAGTTAATTAACGAACATTCGCATTTAAATTTATGGCAGTTTCACTGTAGACGTTCTTTTGTGAGAGTGAAGAAGCATCGTCCGATTTATTGTTAAATATGTGGTCTTCACAAGCCAACTGATAAAGAATCATGAAATTTGACGAACTCCTGGGGGAAATCGGGGAATTTGGTCCCTTCCAAAAGCGGATATACTTCATGGTGTGCTTTACTGCCATAGTGGGAAGTTACCGGGCAATGTCACCTGTCTTTCTCTTGGAGATAACTAATTACAGGTCAGTTACAGCATATAAACAACCGCTGGACAAATGAAAGCATTCATTTGACACTGGATTCCACCAAATCACAAAAAACGTTACATGACTGAAACCAGTCGCAAAAACGCCATCGAATAACATTTCTTGTTATCCCCCGGCATATAAATAAATACGCAATTGCCGACACGATTATTTCAGTTCTATCCGAAAATTACAAATATTTGTTTAGTTTTGGTCATTTGCATTCAACACTTAGATCTATAGGCCTAGAGTATATTACACAGATGTTGCAACTAGTGTTTAGGAAGGGGCCAAATTTGAAGCACCAGAGGTTGCGCCAATAATTCTCAGCTTGACTACAATATATGAATATGTCACGTGTATCAATATAACAATGCACAAAAGCAACTGATAAACACGAAACGAAATATACTTGATGTTTCCACCTACATCAGGCGTATCTAGATAATACTTTACTTACGATAAACGAAAACTCCAATACACATATTCCAAGACAACTTCAATTATGGATTTCCTGTACCTTCACAGAATTTTCACACACAAAACTGAGTTTGATCACTAGATCACACTTGTCCCACGTATGTTTTATTCGGTGGATTTGGATACACTTCGCGCACAAGTTTTAAAATACAATCTTAGATCACTTTCCCGTTTTGCCCACACCAATCCTTCATCAGCTTCTACGTTTAATATCCGTTTCTTCAATTCCGTGTATCTACGATCTTTCGAAACACTAAAGTCTTCGTCCAGAAGTATTGGTGGCGCTGTTTTCGAATCGACGAATTCTGCAACATGGTGGCCGCGCCATTACCTAGCTAACTGTGATTGCCTGTGCTGTGTCAAGCATGGTTGACAAAAGAAGTATGAACAAAAATATTCTCCTTCATCTTGTTCCACAATGAAATCTGCCTGTGACACTGATTCACTTATCCAAAAAATCGGCACTGAATTTATCAAGGTTTATGTTGCACTTGCAAAGGCGGGAAGAGAAGCCCTTTTTGTTGATTCGAGTTGGCGGTCGGAATGATGTAATCTTGAATTGGAACTTTCTCCACGATAAAGACACAAATGTCGTAATCGAAATGACCAAAGCCTCCCTGAACACCTCGAACAACTCTCCGTAAAATTAAGCGTCACATGAAAATGTTGTGTTGCTCATATTGAAGCATATCTTGACAGTTGTAAACTCGGATGCGTGGTTGCTAGGAGATCGCGTGGTCAGAAAGGGGGAAAACAAAAAAAGTTTTAGAACGTAATAAAAGAAATCCGCAGTGCAATCCAATTTTGTATACATATAATAGTATTCACGAAAACATTCATTTTTCTAAAAATGCAAATTAATTTATCAATTCCTGCCACGGTCGTAACCCCGATCACGTAGGTGGGTATTTCGAAGGGATTTTGTAATTACGCTGTGTGTATTACATCGTTGAAATCAACTGAACAGGAAGATTGTCGAGGCATTGACAGATGCTCGTCATGGATGTAGAAAACATGCATCTGAGAGAAACATTGTTGCTTTGAGCTTCGAGATCAAACGTGTTCATGCCGAAGTGGTTTATAAAGAGAGGATGATCTTTGCAGCCAGCGAATAATCTTGATGAAAATAATGTTGAAATCCAAATTCACGCACATGACAGAATTATTGTGAACAAATATTTATCTGAACATCCTTTCGACGTAGATCTGTGTGAGGCTGTCAGTGTTTTATCTCCAGTCCGAAGTGAAATAAGATAAAGTTTTCGTGTCTCAATTTTTCATGCCGCTGTGGAAAATGTGCACCGATGTAATAAAAGAAATGCTACTAGATCTACCGTTGCACGGTCTTAAAAGAACCAAGTCAACTCTATCTTTCTTCAGCTGTTTATTAAAAATTCGTTTCCAAAGCAAAGCGATTCGATCTACATCATAAATTAATGCATAGACTAGATTCTAGTACCAAGTGTTTAAACTTTTTTTTAAAATGTCATGAAATAACTTACACAATGATTGAAAGACATTTTTAAATAAATAATATAATTTACCATAACCGGGTTTTATTTTACGATCGTTGTCATCCAGATTCCAGATGTAATACAAGACGAACACAACGAAAAAAACTGTTGAAATCAATGATTGTCGAATATATTGTGAGAAATGCTATTCATAAACTGCAGATGTACCGTACACCACAGGATTCCGATTGGTGCCGAGATACATATTATGGTGTTTTGTTCAATTACACTGCTCTTATTCATCACGACAAACGTATTTCGTTCTCGTCCAGAGAATAGCGCAGAACTGTAATTTGTGTGCTGGACTTTGTTGGATAAATCGTGGACATTCCACAGTATCGTTTTATTTTATTTTTATTATTATTTTATTTCTTTTTGGAGTACACAAACAATATGTTTACAGAATATAGTTCACATGCAAACTTAAATACATACAAGTTACAAAGTATATCTATGGATGATAACAAACAAAAACTATTCCAGGGTCATATTGTTGGATTGTGCAAGTTCGTGGTTTTAAACAAATAGGTGGTGACAGAGAGACCAAAATGTCATGAGCTGTGTGTATTTACATTGTGAATGTGATATATTTCTGTCGATGTAATATGAATCGGTATTTCTTGTTTGATGTGTGGGAAATTTGGTATGGAGTCGGAAATGTTTGATTTGAATATGTTTTGCTTTGTTGCAGTTAGAATATGATTTAATACATCATTTCGTTTTTGTTGATATCCTAATAAAATTGTCAATTTTGAAAATTCTAGTTCTATTCCAGTTTTGTCTTTGATCCATTTTGTAAGGTTGGTCCAGGTATGTTTTACAATTTTGTACTCAAAGAACATGTGCACTCAGGTTTTATTTTTCTCGTTTACAAAAATTGCAAAGAAATGATTCTTTATATCCAATTTTGAACAGTAACTCGTTTGTTGGTATAATTCTATGAATAATACTGTATTGGAACCATTTTTGTTTGGAGGACACATTATATCTGTGGGGGGTACGATTAATCGTTTGCCAATCCTTTTCCGTCATGTAAAGGCCAAGATCTAGTTCCCATCTTTGAATGTATTTTCGGGATATCATGTTGTTGGATACTTTATTTAAGATATCATAAAATACCCTTCATCCCCCATCTCCACTAAGTTTTCAAGGAAATATGGTATTAAGGGCAGATGTAACTTAGATGTTAGGGCTATACTCTTACGCTTTAAATATTGTTTTATTGCTTGGATATGACTAGAATATTCCGGAAAATGTGTTTTACAGTCGTTTACATGTTTTAGGTCTAACAGATCTAGAAAATTTCTGTTCTCGTCTATCAAATGATTTACAAGATTAATGCCTATTCCCAAGTAATGTTTATAGTATACCTGAGTGTTCCCGATTCTTATATTCGTATTTTGCTATAAAGGTTGTGATAATATATCTTTTTCCTCTTTGATAGAATTTCCTTTTTTTTCTATTAACTTTCCCCATGCACACAGAACATCTTTCCAGAAAGCATTTGTCCAATCATTAATAACTTTTTCCGAAATATAGAATTAGCATTTTTTGCAGAAAATCAATTTGTGTTGGAGTTTTATTATTAATCAAAAGAGTGGTAAGTTTAGAGTGTAGATGTGAATTGAACAGACGTTTAATCCAAGATATCTTTTGAGCGTTGATTGTATATTTAATACCAGGCACTCTTAAACCTCCCTCTTCATAAGGTTTCATAATAGTATTTCTACTGATTTTGTCTGGTTTATTTTTCCATATAAAACGAAAACACAGTGTTTCGTGTTCTTTTATAAACCTTTCACTTGGATTAGGTAGGGTTGAGAAAAGGTGGGTTAGTTTAGGTAAAATAAGACTTTAGTACAGTAATTCTTCCGAATGGGGTCAGGTCACGTGCTCACCAACAGTTCATGATGATTTTTAAACTTTTAAGTTTGTCTTTGTAATTTCTTTCTACCATTTCTGCCAAATTGTGAGTAAAAATAATACCGAGAAGAGTGTAACTTTTTCTTGACCAATCTAAGTTCCAACTTTTACAAACAGCGTTGTGAGCCATTTGCTTGAGTTAATTTGAAGGCCTGAAAAAGACGCATATGTTTGAAGAGTTGTCATGGTGTTTTGGAGACAATTTTCAGTTCCATCTAATATGAGAGATGTGTCGTCTGCGATTTGGGAAATTAGATATTCTGTCTCATCGATCTTAATTCCATTTATATTTTATTTTTATTTTTATTTTTCTGCGCATAACAAGAATATATCAGAAAATAACGGGTCGTCCTGTCTACATCCTCTTGTTACTTTAAAAAAATCTAAAGGAAAACCGTTAACTAAAACACTAGATTTTATATCGTGATAGAATTCTCTTTTACATAAAACCCCTTTGATGTTCGTTAATTATTGTTGGCAGAACTTTTTTTATTCGATTTGCTATTGTTGCTGATGCTATCTTATAGGAAACATTTAATAGCGAAATTGGTCTCCAATTTTTTAAGTGCTGCTTTGGTTTATCTTTTTTTGGAATGCATGTTATTAGACCCTGCTTTTGACTAACTGATAATTCTCCTCTTTTGAAACCTAGATTCAATGGTCGTATCAGATATTTATGCAGATCTAGCCAGAAAAAATTTGTAGAATTCTACAGTAAATCAATCCGGACCCGGACCTTTTTCATTTTTCATATCTTTCAAAGATGTTAAAACTTCCTCATATTGTAACTCACCTTCGAGGCCTGATTTTTGTGGTGTGCTTAGTTTTGGAATATTAAGGTCTTTAAACATATCATCTAGGTCTACGTTTCTACATGTCTGTTTCGTGTACAACTGTTCGTAATCGTTTTATGATGATGTGAAGACGAGATTGCAGAAAGGTTTTGAAACCAAAGACCAAAGAGAGTTTATTCAGTATTGAAGGCCTCGTGGCCAGGAGTACAATTTCTTTCATATAACATGCGTACGATAGTGGCACGTGGGTGTATTACGTACTTTCTAAATATAAAAGTATATATCTATAAATAAAACTATCTTTAATACAGATTCACACTTCAGCTTAACGGTAAACTGGCAAATCTATCTTTAGATAAAGAGCAAAATCTCTTATAACATTAACATTTTGGGGGGACATCATGGAGGCAAATTTCTGCCTTGATGGACAATGATGAAAATAACGAGGAATTAAACTATCTCTGCTTTTCTCGTAATATGGGCAAACTAGTGCAAAATAATATTCATCTTCTAATTCTAATAAATCACACTTGTCACAGAACATGAATTCAGATTGTATAAACTGGTTGCTAAAGCGTTGGTTTTTGTACTTTTAAACCATGTGCTGAACATCGAAATTTCGCCAAAACTCTTACAAGATCCTTACCAAAGCATGAGATTAAATAGAGTTCAGTTTCCAATAGTGATTTATATGACGCATAATTATATATAATGGTTCAAGAACACAGAACTGATAATCTTTTGACTCCAGTTTTGCACAACGATGTCAATACATCTTCTCTTGAATAATTCCATAAAACAATGTATATGTCCACAGTCCTGCGATATCCACGCACAGCCAAAACCAGATTTAAACAAAAGCATTCTCACATGAGATGCCCATTTAACACTACCATTATCATCTTGTACTTTCAGCATTTTATAACAAGCATGTGGCAGTCGATTTGAATTCATGCGTATCATTGGTTGGTTGGTTTGTTATTTAACGCCGCACACAGCACTATTCCAGCTAGACCAGACAATCCAGTGATTAATATCATGAGCATCCATCCACGCAATTGGGATCGATGACATGTACCAACCAAGTCAGCGAGCCTGACCTCCCGATCCCCTTAGTCGCCTTTTACGACAAGCACAGTCACCTTTTATGGCAATGATGGGTTGCTGAAGACCTATAATTCTACTCCGAAATCTTCACGTGTCATGCGTATCAATCTACACCACTATCTTATACATCGGCTGAAATAAATAACACTTTGTTGATAACGGCCAACTTCACCAAGAACCGCATTAAATGATGCTTTATTACTGATCGACAAATATCTCTTTTGAAAAGAACTTTGGACTCTTTCTATACTTTCTCTAAATGTAAATCCCCAACTTTCACTTCAACAACAAGCAATCGGAGCTATTTTACTATCGAATATAGAAACAATTACCTTAAATGACAAGTACGGATAGAGCTTAGTCAACTTACAAATAGGAAAACATGCTTTTTTGGCCTGTGTGGCTAGGGTTTCACAGGCCTTAGACCACAGTAGACGTGATGAAAAGACAATGCCCAAGTATTTATAATATGTTACTATTTTCATTTCTGCATTTTTATAGTACCATTTTTCAACTCGTTAAATAACACCACCATTTCTGAATACAATTATATTTAATTTATCTATATTGACTTCCAGACCCCCAAGTATCACAAAAAGATTCCAATTTATCTAATTTTCTCTGTAACTCAATTACAGAGTCTGCTACTAAGACAATGTCATCCGCAAACAAAAGCAATTTGATTTCATCAATAAACTCATTCACAAAAATACCTTTTGTTACACTATTATCTAAATCGGTAGCAAGTTGGTTTATAAAGAATATAAATAACAGAGGGCTTAACACACAACTCTGTCGGACTACACTGGAGGTCTGAAATGCGTCAGTTCTAAAATTTCCCGTACGAACAAAAGCAAACACATTTTCATACATATTCTTTAACACTTTAAAAAAATCCATGGATGCCTTTCTTTAAAAGCAGATATAATAATTTAGTTCTACCAACGGAATCAAACGCTTTCCGGAAGCCAATAAATGCGGCACAAAAACGATGCTTTGATTTTGCGCTTGGACCCAACTGTGCATATAGATTTGTATGTATCATATTTATTTCTTAGTTGACTGTATTCCTGTTCCTTATTAGTTGATTAGTTCCAGATTTCTTTAGTTTTATAAATATCAGGTCAACCTCCGGTTGTATCAGTTGCCAAAGAGGTCACAACTTTCCAATTCACATTTGCAGATGTAAAATTCCATTTCTCGAGAATGACACCTACGCAGTTCAGGATGACAATCACAAGCAGCTCATTGAAAGGTTTATCCCCCAAGTTTCGGATTCCTACTCCAAGTGTACTTTGTACGACGTCCATAACAACAGTTCCCGTGCTGATAGCAACACCACCCAATACACGTGTGATGCCTGGGTGTACGACAAGTCAGTTATACAGTCATCAGGTCCGACAGATGTAAGTTTCTTGGACATTTAACTTGATAATATGACCACATGATTTGTTCAACCTCAACGACTCTATAGTGCTCACTGTAGTACGCCACAAACACACAGAAACATCCTATCCCACGTCATAAACTTTTGGAAGAAATGCCTGTTATATACACTTCTGTGCAACAGAAAGTAAATTAATGAAAACAGTCGCCTGTTGTGAGATACTCGTCGATATGATGCATATATATTATTGATGATACCCGTATCAAATACATCACCATCGAATAACCATTTCGTTTTAGTTATCGTTGAGCAATAACACGGCGGGTTTCACACATTGTCCCCCATTCGTGGAATCGAACCCGGACCATCGGCTTGACGAGCTAACTAGGCTTATCCACCGCCCCACTTCTTTACGGGACAATCTATCGTTTAATAGGGCAGGGTCAAAGTGGTGTCCTTGTCGAACATCCGAGTTAGATTCCACACACGGACCTGTTCAGTGTGAAGCCCACAATAGTATCCACATAAAGCAATACTATGTTTTTGTTCATACATTATTTTGTTTTCAGTTCAACATGGTGTGCGACAACGAGATTCTACGTTCCCACAGCAACATGATCGATTTTGCAGGGGGTCTTTTCGGGGCCCTTGTTTGTGGACCTATTGGGGACATGTAAGACCTAGCATCCGTTAATCATACGTACATAATCTTGTTTTACCCTGAACTATATCCAATAGATATCACCAAATTACCATATCAAAATCTATTTAATCTATTTTTCTAGACTATTTCTATCTTCCAGATCATGTGGAAGTTTGAACTGTGAACGCCTTCATTTAACTGCCTGTATTAAGTTTATGTTTTGCATATTTAGGTTCGGGAGAAAGAAAGCGTTGATTGGGACAGTCGTAATTAACTCTTTAGCAAACGTTGCCATTGCTCAAAGCGTCAATTTTGCAATGTTTGCTGTTTTCAACTTCGTGCTTGGATTCACTGGGATGGCGATGTTTATGCTGGCATTTGTCCTGGGTAAGAGCGTTCTAGTTTTATAACTGACTTTTCTGCTGTAAAATCTTGAGGTCTACACATTTGTATGATTATAGTTCATAAGAAAATTTAGTATGATATTTTATTATACCGATTCAGTAGAATAATCAATAGGATTTTTCGAGCAGCTTTCTATCTTTGCACACCACTCTTACTGTTATTTACAGCTATGGAATTCGTTGGACCATCAAAGAGGACATTTGCTGGGGTGGTAATTGAGTACTTCTGGGCAGCGGGATTGTTCTTACTGACTGGGATGGCGTATCTAATCCGGCAGTGGCGACATCTGCGATTGGCGTTGGGCATACCTCCAATCCTATTTGTTACGTATTGGTGGTGAGGTGACCTTGGGCTGTTTGACCTCTTCTTTGACACCTCCAAGACCTCCTCCCGTTCCTCTATCCCATCTTCCTCCCCAACCCCATTACTCTAACTCGAGTACCCTAAACCATCACCTCAAGCATTTCTTATTTCTCTTCCCCATCTTGTCCCCCCACACATCTACTTGTTCCTGACTGCCTCCGCCGTGTAGTGGATAGAGCGTCAGCCCGGAAAGCGTTAAGGGACTAAAAAAGGACTGGTCGCCTCGGAATTTTCTGTGACTTTTCTGAGTCTGTGTAGGGTATCCATGTTAAACTGCGGCACGGTATTTTAGTGGGCAAGCACTATAAATCAGCTTTAGTCCAGACAAGTACAAGCAACCACATAGACACGTGCATGCACGTTGCCGTATAAGTGTAATAATGGTTATGGGAAGTACATTTTTTTGCCAAGTAAGCAAAGCGAACGCCAGTTTTAATGGACAAGAAGCTTTCAATCAAAAACGATTTTGAGGGCTTTCCGTTGCGTGTCAGTTAGTTTTATTCAATGTTGAATTTCTCGTAAACCCTATCCTTATCAATAGGACGTTGATGATATCGCCAATCAAACATTGAGGCTTGTCTGTCACATCTTCCTGATTATCATGCCGTTATATCTAGCTCGTTCTCCATATGTCACAGGTTAATACCAGAGTCACCAAGATGGCTCATATCTCGAGGACGCACAGCAGAAGCCAATGCGATAATAAAGAAGATTGCAAAGTCCAACAAAGCTACTTTGAGAGACACTGTCATGTCCGACCTCTCGGTTGAGGAAGATGTCCAGCAAACACCACTGTGGAGCACATGTACAAGTCCAGTTCTTGTAATGAGATCTGTCGCTGTGTTCTTCAACTGGTATGTCATAATCCTCCATCGACTAAAATCATTGATTTATAACAGCATATGCATAATGTGTAATCAATATTGCTTTTGTGTTTTTGCAGTGGGATAGAGCGATTAGGTTCCATGTTATATATAAGTTGGAAATGGTATGATATATATTCAATGTCCAATTGATATAAAATGGTATCTGCAATGTCCTTTGGGAACTTCAAACGCTGCAAAAATATTTTACTTGAAAATCGAAAGAAGCTAATGGTACCGGTAGTATGATTTCTGTCGGGGGATTGTCCAGCTTCCTATTTCGGTATCTTGTGGTGCTACTATTTGATACCGCCTCCGTGTTCAAGTGGTAGAGCCTCCGCCCGGAGAGCGGAAGGTCCGGGATTCGATTCCCGGCCCGCGTCATACCAAAAGACGATAAAAGATGGTGCATTAAGGGGCTAAAGCAAGGACTAGTCGGCTCGGAATCAGTATACTGTGTCTGAGTGGGGTATTTATGTTAAACTGCGGCATGGTATCCCAGTGAGCTAGCACTATATATCGGCATTAGTCCGAACTAGTACAAGCAGCCACACACGTACATGCACGTCGCTATATAAGTGCAATAATCTTGGACGCGACGTTAAACCCCAGTTCACTTCACCTCACACCTACTTTTTGATTTCACTAAAAATATATATATTTGCGCCTAAGGCAATGATTGAAGACCTGTCACATCAGGTTCATTTGAACATTTTGCATCTGGGGTGCTTGCCTTTTGTGATCCAAAACCTATGATACCATCCTATAAATATTGCGGATGTGTTTTTGAAATGCCATGGATTAATTGTAGGTTTGCCATCAACATTGTCTACTACGGACTAAGCCTGAATGTGGGCAACTTGAGCGGTGATATTTATCTCAACTTCTTCATATCCTGCCTGATGGAACTTATTGGATCCATATTGTGCCATCTTCTTATGAATAAAGTTGGGAGGAAGACAATCCTGTGTTCCTCAATGATCCTCGGGGGCTTAACCTGCACTTCGTCTTTGTTCCCTTTGATTTATGGCAACTCTTGTAAGATATTATTCCATCTCATAGCTGTTAAGATGAACATTTACGACAATATGGTACTTGTATTACAACAACATGGCATTAATGAATTACGTTCAGCGTGAAATGATACTGGTATGAGAACGTTCTGTATTATCAAAAATATAGTTTATACAACTGTACATATGTAAATTGAACACCGAAACCCATTATCTCTACAATTATTCAGCAATATATTGTATCGGTTTAATAAGAAAACAGACCCGTGAACATTCCGAGGTAGAATAGGTCTTCAGCAGCCCATGCTTGCCGTAAAAGGCGACTATGCTTGTTGTAAAAGGTGACTAACGTGATCGGGTGGTCAGGCTCGCTGACTTGGTTGAAACATGTCACTGATCCCAAATGCGTGGATCGATGCTCATGATATCAATCAATGGGTTGTCCGGTCCAGACTCGATTATTTACAGACCACCGTCATATAGGTGAAATATTGCTGAGTGCGGCGTTAAACAGCAAACCAACCAACCAACTAATAAGAAAACTTCATTTGGTTGCACAATATACTATTTTGATGTTAGGATGATACACATACAATATAGGTTTTTCTTTTCTCCTTTAGCTACAGAGTGGATACTGATTGCAATCACTATGGTAGGTAAACTGTGTGCTGCTACTGCGTTCACCGTCATGTACATCTTCTCTGCGGAGTTGTTCCCGACAACGTTGCGACAGTCTGCTATGGGTGCATGTTCCTTGTTCGAAGGAATTGCTGGCATGGTGGCACCATATATTGCTGATCTGGTAAGAAGATTATAAAACACAATGTAAATAATCAAATACGGTTCGACTGATGTCATATACAGCATGTGTTAAATAATATTTATCGCATTTATGGAAGAAACAACACTTATAAAATACATGACATTAGATTACACGGTTTAGGTGATATGTATATATTGGTACCAGTATCGTTTGTTGCTGTACGACAAAAATGCCTTTGCATGTTCATTATATTAATATTATGTTTGACTTGTGAATGTGTTCTGTACTAAAGTAACATCAAAAGAACTGAAAATTCGGACAGTTTTTACGAATTACAAAATCACATTTGCGTGTTTGTTGACTTGTGCTGTCCAAAATCAATAGCAACTACAGAGTTTGCAAATGATTACACCGCTCCAGAGTGTCCACTAGCCCATTGCAAAGCCTAGTTTCCACTCTAGGTTGTGATATGGGCTAGTGGATACTCTTGCCTCGGGAAGATGATTAAGCCCAGCTTTTAAAATATTTGAAGTTTATTGAAATTAAAAATAGAAAATCATTACACTTTCAGACATAAGATATATCAAATGCATTCATTGCCTAAGTTATGAATATTTCTCTGAGACTGATTACGCCTTTCATTTACTATTTTTAGGGCATCCTAACCAAAGGACCTCTACAAGAAGTTCTGCCTCTAATAGTGTTCGGCTCCCTGACAATAGTTGCCGGATTAATGGCTATCGTGTTACCGGAAGCACGTGACCAACAGCTACCGGAAACATTACAAGATGCCATCTTTTTTGGAAAACCCACTCCAAGTCAAGATCAGTACTCTGATGTGCCAGTCAGTGACATCACCTAATTCTCAAGGCTCGTTTAGGAATTCACGTCCTACAGTTTCATACCACTGACAGTGACGATGAGAACAATAATGCAAGGATTATATTTTGTCCCATCTTTCTTTGTTCAACATTAATCTTCACGTTCAATTTTATGGCGCTTTTTCTTTCCTCGTGAATAGTTTGTTGTTCACCGCCCTTGCCTGTATGGGATACTTCAGAGCACACATGGGAGTAAACCAACACATCTAAGCGTTACATTCCCCGCGAAGACGTGGTGGGCGTAATCTATACCAACGGTATCATTCTCTGGAATGCTTATTGACACATAGAGGTTACTACTGTAAATCTAATAATCATATGACAGTCACGAATGCCGTAATCTGTAGTCCTGTTTTGAATCTTTACATATATTGTCTATCCTCAAGATCGAAGTGGAATTAATGCATTACACAACGGTCATGAGTCGATTTCATATGGCTTACTGCTTATTATTCCTACCCAGTGTGGATTATCAAGGCGATGATGCTGATAATTCAGAATAGACAAGACCAAATAACATTTTTTAAACTTTTAAACAATATCAATGCATTACAATCAGGAAAGTTGTTCGTCATAATCTGACCGAAGGTCATCACTATGGAGCAGCCAATCACGGACGTGGAATTCGATATCGCACATATGCATTACACCAGTTATTTCAAATGGGTTTCCCATCCATGTGTAAGAAGACAAAGAAAGCCTGTATTTGTTCTTCAGTTAACACAACACAGTTCCGGTTACATGATGGCCTCCCCCAGGATATAGACGACAGAACCACCACAACCTGACAAGGGAGCGCCTGCTGTAGTAGTGTCCTGGTCAGGCAGGGAGTTGAACTGGTCAGTTTACAGTTTTTCAAAACGCCTTATGGTAGACATGTGGAGGGCATTTCCAAATTGAGGCATCAGTGCCAAAAATGATGTCAGTTGCTGTTCCTATTTTGACTTGTACCATTCAGGTGAACAATTGAACTGTCTTTGCATGTGTTTGTGACGAGAACCACCAGTGGGGCACGACACTTTCACCTTTTAGCAGGCATCTGGTATTAGCATTATTTGATAGGATTCATAAACACATGATCATAATACAATCGGAGTCGCACAATCAACTCTGCTTTTAGCAGAGATATCTTGAATTTAGGGAAAGGGTTTTGACCGTTTTATTATTATTATAATTGTTATTATTATGTACATATTAAAATAAACAATGCAGCAAAGAGAGTTTGGGTCATCCTAGAACAGTCAGGCTGGTTTGGCTCATCATTAGCCCAGGGTCCTTGTCCCCTCTACACGCAGCTCAGGAAGCGATGCCTAGTCGAACCCACCCAGAACTTTTCAGAGAATGTGAAGACTCCCTAAACCTGCAGCCTTTTTCATTACCCAGATTGTCAGAAGGGCTGTATTCCTGGCAGCAAACTAGGGGACTCCCAATCAGATTGGATGGTACTAAACCTAAGGTACCAAGAACAATGGGGAGTCAGATAACTTGGTACTTGGGAAGCAAGCGTGACGTTTTGAAAGCGAGATCCGCATATTGTGCATGTTTTTCCTGAATCTTGTCAATCACATTAGTGTCAAAAGGGACAGAAAATTCAGTAATATAAATGATTTCATTTGATTTATCAAAAATGACAAGATCCGGTTTGTTGGCTTTGGAAGGCCTGAGGCTGTAATATGGCCTATTCCAAAGAATTTTGAAGTAATATCTTTCCATGACGCCCTCTACATATCCTGGGTCGTACCATTGATGGAACTCTGCGTCAAAACCACAAACATTGCGAAGACGGTAATAAATTGATCGAGCCACTCCATCATGTCGCTTAAGATACTGTGTTTGTGCCAAAGCTTGGCATCCACTGACAATGTCTTAGACAGTCTCGTTCATTACATAATCTACATATAATATTTACATTTTGATGCAAAATCACACATTGACGGTTTCGAGTGGGAAGTTACTGGTCCTGAGCAGCAAACAGAAAGCCTTCTGTGTCACTTTTCAGGTCAGCCGACTTTATCCACACGAAGGACTATGTAGGGTTGCTGAACTTCTCAACACTAAACTCGATCATTAATATTGTTATTGGGGACGGATTGGAACACCAGCGATTTGTACTGAAATTAGGGCGGTCTTAAGTGGCTGACACTGACTGGTGTGGCATTAGCATATGCTCAATAATCATTTATGATTTGCCATTCTAACTGCGAGCATTGTCCTACAAATCCTGGGTCAAGCTCTGTCACTAGTTAAACCATTGTCTTTGATTGTGCGTATTCAGTGCAAATAAGAATATACATATAATTTGTGGAGTTGACTGTATCCTACAGTCAAAGACTCATACACCCGATGCTGCTCCACAAGCTATAAGGTAGTCTCTCAAGGGAGAAGCAGGTCTGATAGCCATGAAGCTGGGACAGAAGGGATTGTGATACCAAAAAGGTGAGGTGAGGTAAAATTGGGTTTAACGTCGCGTCAAAGATTATTGCACTTATATAGCGAGATACCAAAAAGAGGAAGGAGAGTCTTCTGTCACAGTTCTGTGGGGTGTCAGATATCGGAACACCACCTATCCTTATAGGAACAGGAGTGAGGGCTCGAACATGTATGAAGTACTTGGCAATTTTGATGAAATATGACTATGTCTGCGGGAAGTGGAATTTTATCCCAGCAGGAGTAAGGCCCGCTTGTTCCGTCTGTGGTGAAAAGAGGGAAGAGCGTTCCGAAAAATCCAGCCACCTAATGATCTGACGGTTCTAGCAATGAAGCATCTGATGAAGAGAATCGACCAATACATAGGGAAACACCCATTCCAGTTTGACAAGGGTCGGGCCGAACCCAAACACAGCCTATAAAACTGTGAGTTACCACAGACCGGTTTGTGAAAGCGGAGGATCTACATTCTCTTGCCACAGATGATGTTTGTTCACCAATCACAAGATGAGGACATCATTTGACGTAGAGTGTAAGCGTCAGGTATTTTTATGTTTGTATGTCGTCTATAGTGTAAGGGGAGAGAGGTCTTGTTGGAGTATTGTGTCCTTGCCTGTGTTATGTTCTTAAAATATTGTTGGCCCTTTTGCTAATTGGCTTGTTTTAAAATACTAAAGGCTATTTGCACGTCAGCCGCTGTACTTCACAGCAATCAGACCAAACTTCAGAGCACACATATCAGTATAACAACAAATCTAAAGCCTATATTCCTTCCAAAGACGTGGCGGGCTTAATCAACATCCCAGTGTCAATCATAAGGGTATCTATTTATAAGACAAAAGAATACAGCTTCACTCCCGTAGTCAGTGTTTGGTCTTCAGTTAACACCAACACAATCCACTTTACTTTATCTTATATCATTCCCAACATCAGACAGCTCGTGTTACTGCTGAATATATAGTATTATGTGATGTAATGTAATCATCCATTTACTGTAACAGCAATAATAATACATACCTTTGTCACAAAGGTACTTCTTGCATCGACCCGTCAAGATCCGGGGTTGAATAGGTCTTTAGCAACCCATGCTTGCCGTAAAATGCGACTATGCTTGTCGTAAGAGGCGACTAACGGGATCGGGTGGTCAGGCTCGCTGACGTGGTTGATACATGTCATCGATCACAATTGCGTAGATCGATGCTCATGATATCAATCACTGGATTGTCTGGTTCAGACTCGATTATTTACAGACCGCCGTCATATAGGTGGAATATTGCTGCGTGTGGCGTTAAACAACAAACAAACAAAACTCTTGCATCGTGATAATATTATACATGCTTCGTGAGCAAAAAATCAAAGAAATTTATGCTAAAGACATAAATATAGCTTTTCTTTCGTTTTGACTCAGTTCCAAGACGTCTCTTTCGAGTGGAATAGTTAAATAATAAAACAATGAAACTTTGAAATACGCAGCCAATGTCGTCACATGGTCGGCTCAACAGCAGTTGCAGATTCCTGAGACAGATATTGGTAATGACGTCATCGACGTTCTAGTCAAAATGGTTCACATTTCCTTCAAATTTTAAAAACCACAAGTGAATGATAACAGGACTGAACAGGCAAAGGGGAAAACACATAAGCCTCCCAAGAGTGGTTGCTTTTCAACGGTGAATTAGGTACTGTGACAGCTATATCTTAGCTGCCTGTAAATATTCAGATCTGGGTAGCACAGATTAGTTTGTTAATACCAAGACCAACGACTATCCGCTGCCGAAACCAATGATACACCATCAGCTAGTTTTCACTGGAGTGTAACATTCCGATGGACCGCGACGCAATTCCTTGTTTAGAATTGTGTCCCTTTTTAGCCCTGACCAACTGATCATGGGTCCGATGCCCAGTTTCAGCTTGGTTTTGTGTCGACGTCTTTGTGTCCTTCTGGGCTTTCATTCAACATCAAGCGGATACTATAAGTTGTGAACCGATCACCGATGGGGTTATGGTGGCATGTACCCTATATACCTCAAGCCGTCAGGTACGGTTACATAGGCTCACACACAGGGTACATCACACCATATGCCAATAGGGATCTGTTGACAACAAATTGATCTTAAAATCTCCATAAAAGTCCGTACAAAGAGAGATATATTGCTGGGTCCAGCAAATGTGCCACTAAATCATAACCATAATTCTTAATACAACCAAGGAAGGACTTTCTTTATATATACGACAGAATTTCAGACAAGTGTAATTAATACCACGCGGATTCTCAAAAACTCAAAGGATTCGCTTGACTTTTTGGAGCTCAGATAAGAACCAAATTCAATTCTGGCAAAACATTTGATTTTTCAATTTCGTATACCACCAGTCAATATGACAAACTTAAGGAACAACTTCATTCTCAGATACAGCTACGTATCTATATTCAGAAATTCAGGAAAATTTGCGAAAAATTACAGCAAAACCCACCTTAAGTTTACTGAGAAAACAATATGTGAAATGATGGACTTACTCATTGATATTTAGGCAAGACGTAGGCATCCCCATTGTGCTCTTCTTCTTTCGGATCTGTTTCTTCATGCATATAATTCTAAATTTCTTGGCCAAGTCAAAACAAGGTAATTTGGCCTAAAGGTTTGACTCAAAGCTTTATGTATATCGATGACCTCATATCGTTTAATAACAATCAAATAGCCAATTTCCTTCCACCTATTTACCCACCTGAACAAGAAATAAAGGAGAGCAGCGAGACTGACTCACCACAAGACTGTATGACAAGTGGGATGACTTCAACTTTACAATAGTCAACTTTCCCTTCATGTCGAGCAATATTCCACCAGCTCCAGTCTTTGATGTTTACATGTCACAACGTTTGAGATACAATCGAGCATATTCTTTCTACCAAGATTTCAAAGAGCGTCATACAACTCTTTCTCAGAATTTGTTTGATCAAGGTTACAACATTTAAGGTGTCAGTAAAACTTTAAAAGACTTTAATGGTAGACATGTGAAGGACATTTCCAAATCTGACGCATCAGTGATAAAAATGATGTCAGATATAAGTCCCTATTATGACTTGTACCATATGTTTCTGTGTTTTTTTCGGGGGAACAATTGACTTGCCTTTACATGTTTGTGATGGGTGCCATCGGTCCGGCAGGATACGCTCACCTTTTCGCGAACACCTGGTACCATTGCTTTTTCATAGTGATTCATAAACACATGCTCATGATGTAGTCAGAATGCTTTACGCATAGATTTCTATTGGATATGGAAAGGGTTTTGACGCTTTATTTACCGACATTCATACAGGCCTGGAATATATGTCCGCAGTTTCACCGAGCAAACCTCGTAGCATTAAACGCAAACGAATCGAGTTACTTCCCTTTACCCACTGTAATCGGATAAATGTCGGTACATTTCTGAAACTCAACGATGCTTGTGCGAGATGTGCCCTTTCCTCGGATGTTTTCTCAGCGGGCTACATGGAAAATAAATGCCCGCTCCTTGACCAGTCTCAAGCTAGCATTCTGATGCAAGGTACGATACACCGAAAGACGTTCAAACGGCGCTACAGCCAAATTCTTCACTTAATGACAAGGATATGGTACCAATGTCCTATTAACCTATCCCTACAATTTAGTCATTGTAAATGTCAATGAAAACAGGGTTAAGTATAACAGAAGTGCAAGTTAATTTTTTTTTGT